TTTTTGGGAAATATGAGGGTAAAAATAGACATAAAATTCAACTTTGGGCAAAACCGACAAAACACTGAAAATTTGAGGGTTTTTATGACATTAACCCATTGAGTCTCCCTGGTTCAATAGAGAACATCCTTATCAAGGTTTGTTTCTTAATGAGCAAGTTAGCTTGGGGTCTTAAAATAATCCCAACAATTCATCCTTAAAAAGGGAAACAACAAAACGAAAATGAGAAGCTTCAGAAAATTCATTGTTGAAAGAAGCTATGTAGTTGAATAGATCGATGGTAATGTTTCATGAATATATCATTAAATCCACAACCAGTAAGGGTGTAGAACTTAGATTTACCTGGAAGTTCCAAAAGTGAGAACCTATGAAAATTAGCATAACTCCCGCCTTGAAAAGTCAGAACCTCTTTCATACTCTTCACATATCAAACACACGCACAGAGAGTTGGAACACCCGAACACAGATTATGCAAGTGAAAACGAGAAATAACAGAAAAATGAGATATATTTAACTATCAGATTACTTGTTCCATCACTAACAACAAAAAAACCTAGCAAGAAAAAAAATTGAGTATTGAAAAGTAATAAATTGCTAACTGATGCAAATCGGCTCCTCTTTTCAATTCCTTTTTTGTCATCTTCATCTGTCGATGCCATCAGGATCCGTGTGAGTTAGAAATCAAAGAAATATGAAATCAGAGGAGCCACTACCATTAGACGAAGAGGACGATGTTAGAGGCACCACCGTTGTTGATCTTGGTAATGTTGGTGATGAATCTAAACCCATTTAACATCAGAACTTCAACAATCGACATTCCTATTTAGGTTAAGAGAATGTATGACTTGGGGCATAGAGAGCCTGGTATTTTCTTTTCTGTGCACCTGAAAAAAAATGTTCGGGGTGGGGGCGACGGAAATCGGCGATGTCGGTGGTGGGGGCAACGGGTTGAAATTAGGGTAAGAGAATGGCGGGTTGAAATTTGAAAAGTTGTTTTCGGTGGGAAAATTTGGGAGGGAAGAATTAGGGGGAACAGAAAAATTGAGAGGAAACTAGAAATCAACGAAAATATGGAAAGTGGGATTTGGAAAGAGAAAGAAGCATCGATCTCAGAATTTTCCAATTTTCCACTAGGTGGGAAACTTAGGATGAGGGGAGATTAGAAATTTTCAAGGGAAATCATTGAAACGAGCTATAAAACACGGTTTTAGCCTAAAAACATCGCAAAGTGTGTGGTTAAAGAGACCCCGTTGTAACAAAGGGAACTGGGTTATTTAGTGCGAGCATATACCATGGTTTTTTATTTCAAGCCGGGTGATTTAACATTTTTTGTCATAAAACCCGGTTTCTTTATAATATAACCCGTTTTTTTTCAAAAACCGGGTTTTATAGTGTCATACGTGCTTTTTTGTAGTAGAGACGTATTTGTCAATAGTTTTGAGATATGTAGGACAGCCGAAAATTTCCATATGCTATAATAATAATATCAACCTATTTTTAGATTTTTAATAAAAAAAATAATAATAAATAAGAAAACCTCCTACTCCCATCACCTTTGATTATAGAATTAAATCCGTATACAAGTTAAACTATATTTTGAGGTATTTTGAGGTACCAAACTATTTACAACAATCAAACAAATATATTAATTTTACGTAGTCTGCTTGAACATACCTAGCCTTTGACAACGATTGATTTTTGTAATTTGGTGTATAAGAACAATAACCTCCACACATTAATTACTATCTTGATCAACAAACGAAAAAATGAAATCCATAATTTCAATAGCGTTTCTTCTTCAAGTAATCATCAACACTGTTAATCTCGTCACAGCTCAATTCCCCGCAGAGCCTGTCTTCAGATGCAGAGACACAGGCAACTACACATCAAGTTCTGAGTATTATACAAACTTCAAAAGTGCATTGAATGCCGTTGGCGATATGGATAAGTATAGTGGGGGAACTTTCAGTTCATCCGAAGGCGAGAAAGAAACAGGTTATGCCATCGGCCTTTGCTCCGGTGTTTCTAGCAAATGGGGTGGAAACTGTCATGACTGTATATACCAGTTGACCATTTCACTCGTAGTAAAATGCCCAAATCAAAAGGAAGGTGTGATGTGGGGTTCAAATTGTATGATAAGTTACTCAGATCGTAAAATAATTGGAGTTCTTGATGATTGGGTTTGGATATTTTTACCAGATAAACAAGGAACTCTTGTAAATAAGCCTGATCAGTTTAACAAAGCTTTGTATGATTTGATGAAGAGATTACAGGGGGGAGCAGCCAGAGGTACCGATAAAAAATCTGCATTTGGGTCGACAGTTTATCTACCTGAAAAGAAACCTGTGTATGGGACCATGCAGTGTACTGCTGACTTATCCAAGGAGCTGTGCACTAAATGTTTACAAAGTATAATGCTGTCACACCATCCTTGTTGTAGCGGAAGAAAGTCTGCGAGAATGTTTTCACCCAATTGTTTTTTTAGTTACTCGACTGAAGATTATTCCACATGGAATTCCAAATGGAAACTATAGCTCTGGCAAGCATACTCATGATTAGGGCATCCACGTTCCATTAAACTCGGAACTTGTTAGAGTTTAATGGATTGCACATCATCTTCTTGTTAATCCTAATTTAATTGCTCGACTAACAATTTGGTAACTTTTCTTTGGTCATGATTTCAGGAAAGACTATATGTTTAATGTAATAAAGAGTTAAATCCAAACCAACAAGAAAATCATAAAGCTTTTCATTCACCTTAAACCCAAGGAAATACAGTAGCAGCAAGGCAAGTACACATTAGAACTATGGAATAGCATTTTTATTCAATGTTCTAATAAAAAAAGTAATTCCTCTGTCAAGCTTGAATGTCTGTTAAATAAATATTTTAGATTACCGTTTGATTTATGTAAATCTGTTGCGTGTTTTCCTCTTCATGTTATTTATTATGTAGATATGGGCTTCTCCTTGGAAGAGTAATAGTGTAATTAAATATTGTAGATATATACTCTTATTTTCTTTGGGTTTAATTATCCTCTCGGACTATAATTGAATGTTTTTTTTTTTTCTAAAGTCTTATATTTTCGTGCACACATTAAAAATCAATTCCAAAGTGATGTTCAATCCTTTGAATGTGATAAGGAGGGGGGGATTGGCAATGCCTAATTTCATCAAATTATGACAAATATGAAATCCACATCCACTTCTCACGCCTACATACTTCCCAAAAAAATGGTAATCCAAGAGAATGCCATGAACTGTCAATAATATTGTCTGAACACCGACTGCTAGAAAAAGACTAATCTAATTCAGGCATATAACTAGAAAAAGTGAAATTCAAATCTAATACGGCTTAAATTTTAATCAAATATTGCTCATTTGAATGAAATTGTCCATCCATTCTAATACGGCTCACTGTTAGATTCAAATACAGCTATTTTAAATCAAGTACGGCTACTACAAATCGACACTCTCACTCTCCGACTAAACCCAACATAGAAAAACCACCATCTTCACTATTCAGGTGCCTGAAATCACAAATATGGTCAGTTTCATCATGACTCGTTTGAATTCAAAATGGGTTCAATTTGTTTCGTCTTTTTTACTCTGTGATGTTCTCGAAAATTTGGTTTGAAGCCTTTTGTGTCTAGTCAATAATAAGTTCCAAGGGTATTTTGGCACTTTTCTGAATTGTTTACAAGAATGTGCCTTTTTATGTGATAGCAATTGGAGTTTCAATGCCTATTGTGGTTATCCAATCAATTGCAATTGGATTGAGGGGATTCACTGTTAAAGATCATCACTAGCCCAATAGAACAAATATTATCTAGAAGACTTTAGCTTGTTCTAGAACGCTCTAGAAGATTCTAGAACATTATGGAAGACTATGGAAGACTCCGGAATATACCGGAAGAGTCTAGAATACTCTAGAACGACATGGAAGACCCTGGAAGGTTATGGATCATTCTAGAAGACACTGGAGCAACCTAGACCTCTCCAGAACATGGTAGAATATTCTATAAACATATGGAAGCATATAGAGTATGTTAGATATTTCTAGAGTTATCTAGTAGGTAGTAAGTGTATACTAGTATCTAGAACCTTCCTAAGAGGCCTATAAATAGGTGTGGAGCTCATTTGCTCCAAACCATCCAAGAAAGCCTCAAAGAGAGCAAAGTGTGTAGTAGTCTCACAAAGTGTAAGGTCTTCTTAAGTGTCTTAATAAAAGTCTTTTTGTTTCCCATACAAAGAGTCGTGTTCAACAATCTGGTATCAGAGCAAGGTTTCTTGATAGTGAGAACGAGTGATTCTCGTTGTATCGTGAGTAGTTTGTGACTCTGCAAGTTTAGTGTCGAAACTAGCTTGTTTGGTATTACCGAGGTACTGCCAACACGATGGGTGATCTCCAAGTCGTCGGAGGAATCAAGAAACTCAACAACAACAACTACAAAACATGGGAAACATGTATGAAGTCCTACTTACAAGGACAAGATCTATGGGAGGTCGTTGGCGGAAGCGAAACACGCCTCCGGAGGAAGATGTTAATGGCGCTCTACGCAAATGGAAAATCAAAGCAGGCAAAGCAATGTTTGCCTTGAAGACCACAATCGAAGAAGAGATGTTGGAGCATATTCGGGACGAGAACACACCGAAAGAAGCTTGGGACACGTTTGTGACGCTTTTCTCAAAGAAGAATGATACAAGACTACAACTTTTGGAGAACGAGCTATTATCAATCTCACAACGTGACATGACGATTGCTCAATATTTCCACAAGGTCAAGTCGATATGTCGGGAGATTACTGAACTAGATCCGCAATCCGTCATTACAGAAGCTCGAATGAAGAGGATCATCATCCATGGACTGAGGCCGGAATATAGAAGCTTCGTTACTGCTGTACAAGGATGGCCCGTTCAACCATCACTTGTAGAGTTTGAGAATTTGTTGGCCAGCCAAGAAGCTATGGCTAAGCAAATGGGAGGCATCACGCTGAAGAGTGAAGAAGAAGCACTCTACACAAGTAAAAGTCGGAGAAATTTCAAGCCACCTTCTAAAGAAGGATACAAAAATGCTGACAAATGGAAGAGTCAGCCAGGAACCTCACAACCATGGAGATCTCAAAAGACCGACAATAAGAGTTCTCGGGGGAGGAGGTTCGAAGGCAACTGCAACAATTGTGGAAAGTGGGGCCACATGTCCAAAGATTGTTGGTCAAAGAAAAAGTCTGTGGAAAGCAATGTCGTAACTTCCAAAAAGGAAATAGAGGATGAATGGGATGCTGAGGCATTATGCGCCATAGAAGAAAACGAGTTGGCGCTCATGGCAATGATGGGAGAGCGTATCAACTATGAGAATGATTGGATCATTGATTCAGGATGCTCCAATCACATGACTGGTGATCAGAACAAACTACAAGACGTGAAGGAGTACAAAGGGAGTCGCATGGTACTTACAGCCAACAATGCACGACTTCCAATTGCTCAGATTGGCAAAACAACGATCATGCCTGGTAATAAATCTGACATGGTGTCACTACATAATGTCTATCACGTGCCAGGTATGAAGAAGAACTTGTTATCGGTATCGCAACTAACATCATCAGGAAACTACGTCTTGTTTGGCCCACAAGATGTGAAGGTCTATCGAGATCTTAAAATATCAGAAAAGCCAACAATGGAAGGACGGAGAGTGGAGTCCGTCTATGTTCTCTCCGCAGAGTCTGCCTATGTAGATAAGACTCGTAAGAACGAGACAGCAGATCTATCGCATGCACGGCTGGGACATGTTGGTTATCACAAGTTGAAGGTAATAATGGAGAAATCCATGCTCAGTGGCTTACCTCAACTTGAAGTTAAAACAGATGTTGTTTGTGCTGGATGTCAGTATGGTAAAGGTCATCAATTACCATACAAGGAGTCAAATTTTAGAGCAAAGAAGCCACTAGAGTTAATTCACTCGGATGTGTTCGGTCCAGTCAAGCAGACATCAATTAGCGGGATGCGGTACATGGTGACATTCATTGATGATTATTCGAGATATGTGTGGGTTTTCTTCATGAAAGAAAAATCTGAAACATTCTCAAAGTTTCTAGAATTCAAGACAACGGTCGAAGGAGAAGTGAGAAAGAAGATTCGGTGTCTACGCTCAGACAATGGAGGAGAATACACCTCGGAAGAATTCAATAGCTATCTAAAAGAATGTGGTATACGTCATCAATTCACATGTGCCAACACACCTCAACAAAATGGTGTAGCTGAGAGAAAGAATCGACATCTTGCAGAAATTTGTCGAAGCATGCTACACGCGAAGAATGTCCCAGGAAGATTTTGGGCTGAAGCAATGCGAACTGCTGCCCATGTGATCAATAAACTTCCCCAACCAAGGTTAGGTTTCATCTCACCATTTGAGACACTATGGAACATGAAACCTACTGTTAGCTACTTTCGAGTATTTGGTTGTGTCTGCTACGTATTTGTACCTAGTCATTTACGTAGCAAGTTTGACAAGAAAGCAGTCAGGTGTATATTTGTTGGATATGACAATCAAAGAAAAGGATGGAGGTGTTGTGATCCAACAAGCGGAAGATGCTACACTTCAAGAGATGTAGTGTTCGATGAAGCATCTTCATGGTGGTCCTTAGAGAAGAAAGTATTACCAGACTCGGAAAATATTGAAGAAGTTTTAAAACAAAAGATGGGGGAGCAAACTGCACACATTTGGTCAAGTGTTGATACACCTGAAGATCCGAGCGACACTGATGTCATTGAGCAAGAAGTAACTCAAACAAGTAATGCCGGTGAAAGGGAGACGCCGCCTCCACAACTTCGAAGGACGGAAAGAATCCGAAAGCCTAATCCCAAGTATGCTAATGCGGCTATTTTAGAAGACGGTGTTAAAGAGCCGGAGACATATGAAGAAGCAATTAAGAATAAAGCTTGGCAGAAGGCAATGGAAGAAGAAGTTACAGCCTTAAAGCAGAATCAAACGTGGGAACTGGTACCAAGACCAAGAGATATAAAACCCATTTCCTGCAAGTGGGTTTATAAATTAAAGCGACGCACAGATGGATCAATTGAAAGATACAAGGCTCGTTTGGTGGCTCGAGGGTTCTCACAACAATATGGATTGGACTATGATGAAACATTTAGTCCAGTGGCGAAGATAACTACTGTACGGGTGCTGCTAGCTCTTGCAGCTAGTAAAGACTGGAAATTATGGCAGATGGATGTGAAGAATGCTTTCCTGCATGGAGAATTAGATCGGGAGATCTACATGAACCAACCAAAGGGATTTGAGGATGCAGTTAATCCCACTCATGTGTGCAAGCTGAGAAAAGCTCTTTACGGATTGAAGCAGGCACCAAGAGCCTGGTATGGTAAGATTGCTGAATTTCTTACCCGAAGTGGTTATTCAGTTGCACATGCAGACTCAAGCCTGTTCGTCAAAGAAAAAGAAGGGAAGTTGGCAATTGTGTTGGTTTATGTGGATGACTTGATCATCACCGGGGATGACGAAAGAGAAATCCATCAAACA